TTAAGTTCAATTCAGTCGTTGAGATGTAGACATTCAGTCATTCAGAGTGGTCTGATATGAAACGGCTCACTGTAGAGAAACTATCTGACTCAGATTTCTTTGCAGTGGTGGTGTGAGCAACCAGAGGTAACAACGTTTACAGCACAAATTATTTACTATTGAAAACCACCAGTGAACCTACAGGTATCTTCTAAATTTTTATATGATATATGTTAATAATGGTGAAATAGTGGTAAATCTTTTGGGAACTATGTTGCCTCACAACACCCTGCATGTACCCCTCCACCATGAATAGCTTAAAAAAACCTTCTAGGCCAAAATCTTATCTCAAAACTATTGTGAAAAACAGGCATCAAGCAGCATTCATAAACGTTCATAACCGTTTCATGTCATAACTTTCTGTGACATAGCTTTTAGAGGCATTAAACCTTTCAGATGTCTGGTTCCAGTTACAAATGCTGTGAACAGTTCTGACTCTGTAAGTGTCTCCAGAACCGAGCATCCCACAACAAGCCACTCTGAACGACTTTATTTACATATTAACTATTTATTTGTTGTATGTTTTGAAAAATAAGTAGAATTTTCTCTTTAAGAAGTGAGTTGAATAGCGATATTCACAGTCAACATTTATGTTTTTGGTTAATGTGAAAAAAGTGTTAAATTTAATAGAATCTACTTGCAAGTATATACATCATTTAAAGTTGAATAAAATAGATCATACACATCGACACAATTTTGTTTTTGAGTTTTCCTCTTTTTCGCAATAATAATATTGATGTAATATATTTTATTCATGTAGAAAAATGCAGTTTGACTCGAGTCAGTTCAGTGTATGATTGTTTTCAGTGTTGGAGAATATACGGTTTTGAATAAGTGTCACTCGCAGGCGTTTGTGTGTGAAATGTTTGATTCATAATGACGCCAATCCAGCAATGTGGCATCACCAGTTAAGCATGTTCCTCACGGGAGGGGAGCAGAGAGAAATGTGGGGGCTTCTACATCCTGCACTTCACATTCCAGCCGGTGGGGGCGCCGCTGTGCTGACGTAGGCGTTATATAAACATGTGTGGCCGCGTGTGTGTGTGTGTGTGTGTGTGCTGAGCAGGACTTGTGGTTGGCGGAGAGAAGGCGTGGCTCCATTCCCTCCACAGCCACAGCGCGAGCAGAACACGATCATTCACATATCCGCACAAAGCCAACCTGACAGTGCGAGGGGGAGGGAGAAAGACACAGAGAAAAAGAGAGGGAGAGAGAGCGGGAGGGAGAGAGAGATAGAGGGAGGAGAGCGAGGGGGAGAGAGAGTCTGCTGCACTCTCTTTCTCATACACACTCTGTGTCTCTCTCCCTCCCTCTCTCCCTCTCTCTCCCTCTCTATGTCCACAGAAACAAGGAAGGCTGTATATGGCCTCTGTGAACTGAGCAGAATCCAATTATAAATGCAGCTGCTTAGGCAGTTTGTCTCTCTGACTATGTTCACTCTTCTAATTGCTGAATAGTCCCGTGTGTTATTCTGTCACAGCAGTTGGAATATTTACAGAATAATCAAATAACCATGCTGCTGCTTAAAAAATCTGTTCTCTCCCTATAATATACGGCAGACGTTAAAGAGAGAATATGTTCAGAGAATAAAGAGAGAGACTGAGAGAGAGAGAGTGAAGAGGGCCACTATGTATAGATAGTGTGCAGGGGGCTCTGTATAGAGACTAAAGGGGAATTCCATTGAATTTTCAAAAATTCTGTGTAATGCAGCTGATTAGATGTAAACAAAGTCATTCAGGGTGTAATGATGCATTGCTGAGAAACTTACTGATTCAGATTCCCTTACAGTAGTGGTAATGGGAACCAGGGGTCGTAATGTCTACAATGGAAATGCAACCATTGTATTCACTGTCCAAAACCACCAGTGAACCTATGTTTTATGTGCACCCTTACCACAGCCTGCACGTAGATCTCTGCCATTAATGGATTTTATAAATGCTTTGTAGCACCTTTTTTTAAAATCTCAAATCTATAAAACAATGTATTTATAATTATTTCACATAATAACGTTCTGTGGTGGAATGTTTAGCAGCATCAAACAATTCTGACTGTAAGTTTCCCCAGAATGGTACATTTCACACTGAATCGCTCCAAATGACTTTGTTTACATCTTAATTCTTTGATTATGTAGAATTTTGTACAAATTGGTGGAATTCTCCTTTCGAGAGAGTGAGAGAGAGAGAGAGAGAGAGCAGTTGGCCTCTTGGACAGGTGTGTGTGTGGGGGTCAGTGCTGAATGAGAAACACTGAAGTGTATTTTTGAGTTGTTCTTTGGTCAGAGTTGTTGAAGGATCAGGAGAAGCGGTGAACCCTGTCTGATACTGTGAGCTCAGTGTGATGAAATATTAATAAACAGTGCTTAAGTCACAGTGTACATGCATCAGGTTGAATAAAGAAGCTGAATGGTGGCTTTAATCAGATTAATCAGGGCTTTTACGCAAATGCCTTAACAAACACTGAAATCAATAAAGAATGGTACATGCAGCAAGAGCCTACACTTCCTCCTCTGCAGCAGGATAAGAACCTTCTTATAGTGGAGGACTTACTCTTAAACACAAGAGCAGCAGAGAGGGGGAGAGAGAGAGAGAGAGAGAGAGAGAGAGAGAGAGAGATAGAGATAGATACGAGATCCTTGATAACAAATTCTTTATAAACAGTAAATTGATGCAGAGGAGTCAGTGCTACCTACTATTTAAGTTCATTTAAATGCGTTATGGATTTTGAAGATGCATTCAGAATCAACTGAAACGATTCATTGAAAGGGCCTCTTCCTGACATAAGCAGTGTAAGCAGTCACTTAGGGACACTGAGCCTCAAGGGGCCCTGCAAGTATATGGTTTTCGTTGTTGTTTGTCTCAGTTATGATATTGGCAGGGTAGAATCTTGTGAATATATCACTGATGAGTTTGCTTCCAAAAAAATCAATCAACCTTAATCACACACTGTAATTAATTTTGTTTGTATTGATTTTGTTTTTATCTATAAAGTCATACTATAAATAAACGAAGTAGGACCCCTCAAGTAGGATGTCACTTCATTGTGCATACTTCCTCTTTCTTTTGCAAGTAGAATGTTTTGGCACAAGAGCTGCCATCTTGTGCGTATGACTGTAATCACTCATTGACTCACTCAGCTCTTTTTTTGACTATATACAATCATATGCAAAGGTTTGAAGACCTTCAGGCATGTCACATTTTGCTGTTTTCGTGAAAATAAGTCCTGCACAGAGAACACTCTTAAATGTGACATTTTCTGCACACTTTAGTGCACAATTTCTATTTATTTGCTGAGCTTAGCCCTTGAAATGGCCAGGGTCTGCGAGTGGGCCCAAAGTTTCATTACACAATTCTGTAACCTAAGAATAGCTCAACCAGTTTGCACTGAAGTCCCTGTAGTTGCCAAATGTTAAGCTTCAGTATGTAATAAGCCTGGGATTTTAGGGGTTAATATATTAGAAACTACAGTTTATGCTTTAATTTTTTCCCCAATTTGTCTGTCAAATTTGGCAAATAAACAGTAATTGTATATTAAAATGTGCAGAAGTGTGTTCTCTGTGTGCTTATAACAATAAACAATGCGTAATTTGACAAGGGGCACCCAAACTTTTGCATACGACTGTATGTAATGCAGCTAAAATGAAAGGAAATGCAAGTTATGGTTTGAGATAAGAGAGTTATGCATGAGGTATGATGATTCAGTAGAAATACACAGAATTATTGCGTTTGAGTTATGGGAGTTTTAGCATTGCACTGCATTATTATTTTACAGCACTAAATTTGAATGTATTACAATTACAATTGGGTTTCAGCTGTATAATTTACATTAAAATGTGTTTTGTCATTTTTAAAATAAATAATATAAACATAATAATGTAAATACTAAGTAATTTATACTATACTAGATGTTTTATATAAATATATTTCATGTTCCAACACCAGGCATGTCTAAATCAGCTCAGTGTGGCACAAAACTTCTGCAAACATTCAAGCTACACAAACTACACATACCTACTTAGTTCAGTTAATATAAGAGAATCAGACAAAACAGTGACAAAGTAAGAGGACAGTGTAAACACAGTGTGAGACCTACATAATGAGTGACAGTTACAGTGATTGCAGTGTGAGTGACTCAGTCGTCACATAGAGTGTACATAAAAGGGGGAAAAACATCCTCAATGACCCGGCAGCAACTAGGCCATGCTCCGGCTTCCCCTTCCCTACTGCCTCACTCAAAGGCCAGATGCAGCCCTGTGCCGTCGACTAAAAGTGGCACTGCTTTCCACAGCGCTATGGCCCCAATGCTGGAAATAGACTCATGCTAGCAGCTCATGAGTCACCAGTGCAAAATGGTGGCAACTGTTGATGCAGAGAAATGTCCAGCATCTGCTCAGAGACACAGAGGGAGAGCAGTGGAGAGAGTGGGACAGCCTGAGAGAGTGATTCAAGAGTATGAGGTTGCTGCTCAGCAAAGACTGACCCCTCATAACTTACAACATAATAGCTTTTATAGTAGGTACTGAGTAAGAAGTCTTAAGATTAATAACAAAACAATAAGCCTGGAGTTAATCTATTAATTCTAAGCACATGGGCTGTATAGAGACCCACACTAAAGAGTGTATGTGGGCTCATATTCACTTTCAGAACTACATAACTTACATATTAGTTTCATATTAGTCACAGAAAAATAAGTCTGAAGATTAGTAACAAAATAAGACTGAGGTTTAATGGAGTTAACTTACTAGTTCTAAGCACAGAGGTTGAATAGAGGCCCACAGTAAACTCTTAGGGGTCTGTGTGTCGGCCCATGTTCACTCTCAGAACTCCATCACTTACGTATCCGTTTCATATTAATTATTAAATAAACATTAATAACTCAGTTATAAGCCAAAAGCTTAACAGAGTAACCTGATGTGTGAATTAAGTAAATATCAAATGAAAAAAGGACAACAATGACATGCAACGTATTTTTTAATAGTTTATTGTATGATATAAAACTACAAAAGTAAGACTGTTTCAAATTCATAGACACCTGTCCATATTTTATATATATTCTACAGTCCACACCTTGATGCAAATACAGTGATCATCAGTTGATGGGTTCATTTTTCTCTCAAAATGAATATGTTGGTAATTGCATAGAAAAAGGCACAGCTCCAAGGTCTGTGAAAAATACAGCCTCTCTTATTGAGCAGAAGAAGAGGTAACTGCCCCCCTCCTTCCCCTTCCTACCAGTGGTCTCTCTCAAAAACCACTCAACTACTTCTGTTTCCCCAAACAGGTGGCCTGTGGCACAGGCTGAAGACGGGAGACACCATGTCAAAACTAACAGTAACCAGCATCAGAAAGCATTCACTTCTGCTCTTCATATGTTTTGGCATTGAGGGTTAGCGACAGACTTTTTCCGAGAAAAAAAAAGAAAGAAAAAAAAGAAGCTTTGGAGTCTGAACCTCTGAAGTTTGAAGAGAATAAAATATTGCTTCACAAACATTTTCCCTTGCGCACGAACAAAAACACAGACATTAAATACTCATATTTAAATAGGGGTAGGAGGTGCAGACCTAGAAAACAGCCACAAACACCACCCCGAAATTATAATATAGGAAAACAAAATAGAGACAAAATAATGCATTTTCAAAACAGAAAAAAAATGGCTTCCAACCCAATTCATTAAGCACGATACATTCCTATAAGCAGAGTACATTCCTACCATACATTCTGTACACATTACAATCCAGATGGTAGCTTCACATCAAAATAAATATATTTACACAGGAAACAAAGAATAAATAAATTAAAACAAAAACAATCACTCCAAATCCAAACATCTTAAAATAATCAGTAATTGTAATTATGAATGAATAGTATTGCCCGCTTGGCTCTCATACTCCCGCTCATCATCGTGTTTAATTCTCAGATAATCTCTCCAGCGCTCCTGTCTATGACCTGTTCAAACTGACTCCCAAAGCAGGCTTCTCTGTAAACAGTGAAATAAACCTGCTATCTGAAATGGTCTCCACTGTCTGATGATGCCTGCATGATTCCATGCTATGAAACCAACATGCTCTTGAAATTTAACTGTGATGGGAAATGATATTGATCATGAAGTCATCGCTGAAGAACAGTGCTCTCCAGTGAATGGGTCTATAACCCTAAGCAGACGATATGAGAAATGGTCCCTTTGCGCATGAAGGTCAGAACTGAACTGAAAAGACAAAGTCCAGTTTGACTGAATTCAGTGGTTTGTAGTGAGATGCAGAACAGAAGGCATTTCTTCAGTGTTCTGCTGCACACAGGCTGTTTTTAACTACTGAATAACTGATGGTAATGGAAAAGTTTGGAAATCTAAACAAATCCTCTATGGTAATTTCAAACGCTCTTATATGCACAATCTAATTTCTAATGTCCAGTGCTGTTACCCCTTAAGATCTTTGTGACCATCTCTACTGGCCAAAAACCTATAAGCAAAATCCCAGCTGAGAGACAAAAGGGAGACGAGGAAAACGTTGCTTAGACACGAGTAGATGGCAATCAGTAAAACTCAACCAAACAATGGTATAAATAAGGTCAAATAAAACCACCCACCTAAAATCCTATAGCTGGCTTTTGTACAATTATATTGCAATGCTGCATGCAATAGTATGTATACCGTACCGTTGGAGAATGCAGGATGCGGAAGAAATGTTTGGCAAACAAGCGTAGATGACAAAATGAAAATAAAAGATGAACAAAAAAAATCACCATAAATTTGAGGCTGCCTATGACATCAGAAATGATATTTTTTGCATGAACAGGCACGCACACACTCACTTCCTGCACACTGGTGTAGTGTTTTTAAATGAAATTGCATTTCTTATGAGCACTGAAAATCCAAAACATAAAAAATGAGGAAGTTATGTTCATGCATTTCAACAGATAAAGACAAAAGGGGCTAAAAGTAGTTTACACTTTGCTTTTGATCAAGAGGGAATTATCTGCATACATTTCTTACAGCATAAAGGGACATAACCTTCACTTGGTTATTTCCCATTCAGGAAAAGGACTCCTTGTCACAGGACTAAAACTATACAACGTTGTGCGCATCGATACAATGTGCACTTATTGCCTGAACCCAAGTGACCAATGCAGATCTTTTCAAATCTGTTTGAAGGTAAATTTCTACACTGATCCCCAACATTTACACCAAGTTCATGTATAAATAGGCCAGTCAGGGTAAACTATGTACACTTCATATTAGAGATTGTAGAGTGGGAGTTTGGTTCAGTCAGGACATTAAAGTTGGAGCACAACCATTTCAGTATTTCTCCAATGTCAGTGACATATGAATAATAACACTAAAGAAGCACATAAACCAGGTTCCTCTTTTAAAATGTTGTTGTGCTTTTAGTGAAAATGAAAGTGACACGCAAATAGGCCTGGCATAGCACATTCTTGCACCTGTATGGTGACAAGGGGGAAAGAGAGCTGCTACTCCTTCTCTGCTTATTTTGAGAAATGAAAAAGAGATGATAACAGAAGGACAGGAGATTTACCAAGTGGTCATTTTTCAATGAAGGCACTCAAATCTGACAAGAAGCCAAGTGTGTTCCTTCATGTTCATTTTTTGGGAAAGGCGAGCACAGTGCATGCACAGTGTTTTGAGAAGTAGTACTGGGTGACATCACCATTGATTATTACAATTGCCTTGTCTTAAAAATCAAAAAACTGTACAAAACACCCACAATGTTCTTCAGCTTTTTTTTTTTTACACTTCGTATCTAAAAAAAAAAAATCTTTGATTTATTTTTGCATCTACTCCTCCTCTTCCCCTTCTCAGACCTGGTCATGACCCTACCAGGACCTCCATAATGTGGTCCAGTTCTGTGAGGTCCATTTTGAAAGGCTGGTTGGAGCTGACAGCGGGGGTGGAGCCACTGTAAGGGGACAGAGTCTTGAGGAGGTCATCGGCTGTCACCACGGGGGCCAGCTTAGAGGGGGCGGCCCCTGCAGCGGATGTGCAGGGGTCGAAATCGTACATGGATGTGTCGATGTCTGCGAAAAGGATATCGTCCAGGGCCAGGTCAGTGAGAAAGCCTGAGGAAGAGGAGGCGGAGGGGGAAGTGCTCATGTCCAGGCCGTTAGGAGGGAGGGTCTCCATCAGTTTCGAGTCGCTGGCCGCTATGGTTGCAGATGGACGATCCAGGTGCAGCGAGTTTAGGCCCTCCAGCTTGGGGCTACAGGGTTTGCTGCAGTCTTTGGAGTCCGAAGCCCCAATGGCCTGATTAGGGGGCTGGAGGGGCATGTGTAGGGCCACTGTGAGTGCAGAGGGGGAGGTAGTTGTAGGCCCTGCTGCTGCTTGGGCTGCTGGACACAGCTCCTCAATGTCATCCAGGGCAGAGGAGAAACTGTCTCCGCCCACTTGTGGATGGAGTCTGGACGGGACGTCCTGAAGGGACTGGGGCGAAAGAGAAGGTGGTGTGCAAAAGGCAGCACTGTCCTCTTCCAGCAGCGAGGCTGGGGTGAGGCACGCATCCAGCGGCGTTTGGCCGGCCAGAGGCGGGGCTGGGGGCAGTGGAGGCGGAGCAGGAGATACAGGGGGTGGGGCCAGGGGGGTGGCTGTGGCAAGTGAGAGTGCCCCAAAGGCTGGTTGAGCCTCCCGAAAGCCCTCATCCACTGGGTCATCCGGCGGAGGAGACGGGGGAAAGAAAAGTGGCCGCAGGTTGCCCTCCTGCTTCAGTTCCTCCTGTATGCGCCGCAGCATGTTGTTGATGAGCACACGCTTCTCCAGGCTGGGCTCGGCCAGAGCCCGCTGGTTATATAACTTCATCAAAGAGATGTTGAAGATGGTCTGCCTCTGCAGCGTGTAGGACACCTTGGAGAGGCCGTCGGCCGCCAGCGCTTTGCCTTCCACGCCCTCGTCATCCTCGTCCAGCTTCCGCTTTGCTCCTTTACCCAACATATATCTGTATCAGAAAGAGAGAGAATGCATGCAGGATAAAGAGAGAGAGAGAGAGAGTGAGAGAGAGTGAGAGAGAGAGAGAGAGAGAGAGAGAGAGAGAGAGAGAGAGAGAACATCAGATGCTGAGCCAAAACCTTCTTTCTTAAGTACGATTTAGATGGGATTAGTTTTACACGGAGAAGTTTGGTAATAAAATTACTACCAGATTATTTCTGAGGTTTTAGTCCCATCCCAATCCATCATGTTGTTCAGTTTTTACAAACTGTGCATTCTTGCATATGTACCTACAATAAAATAGACTGCAGAAACAACGTATTGTTTCATATACTGTTGGAAAAGAGCTTTTTGCAGAGTTTCTTAAAGGGAAATTCCATTGTTTTTTCAAAATTTCTACATAGTTCAGTCACTGAGATGTGAACAGTGAATGGTGGCAGATGTGAGATGTGAAGTAATCAGAGTGGTTTGATATGAAATTGTTTATTTTAGAGAAAATGAACGACTTCTTTACAGTAGTGGTGATAAGAGCCAGAGGTCACAATGTTTACAATAGAAATACAGCCATTTTATTTACTATCCAAAACCACCACTGGACCTACATGTATCATGTATTTATCTATATTGTAAAATACTGGTGGTTGTCTTGCGTGTATATCTCCACCATGAATGGATTAGAAACAAGTTTTAGGTCAAAACCTTACATCAAAACTATCATACAACAATGTTTTAGGCATCAAGCAGCATATTCATAACTATTTCATGTAATAATGTTCTGTGAGGTAGCTTTAAGAGGCATTTAACTATTCAGATGTCTGCTTTCTATCACTCCCACTGTTAGTATTCCAACTTGTTAAGTTTCTCTAGAACAAAGCATTTCGCAAACCACTCTGAATTACTTTGTTTACATCTTAACTGTTTAACTATGCAGAAATTTTGAAAAATCAGTGGAATTCCCCTTTAAAAGTAGAGACACTCAAGGAACTATTTCCTTGTATTCTCTGTGGCCCAAATCAAACTGGCCTAAATGTATTATGTTAATCTTTAAAATCTAGAAGAAGGTTTTTGCAGAAATAAGCCTGCTTTTTCATGTTTTTGGCCACAAATGTGCAAATATCTGTCATGTACAGAGATCTACCACAGGCGTCCCACAATAACATCACTTTACATATACAGATCCCAAAAACTCATCCCATCCAAATTGTCCTTTATTTCTCATCTCTTGGTAAATGACTATAAGTTACATATACCACATTTTAGTACACAAACAAAAACCATGGTCATATAAATATTTCCATAAGGTTCTAGTGAAAGAAAATCAAACACATAAGCTTAAAATGTGTATGAAACATACACATTTCCATAATAACAATGATTAGAAAGAACAGTGATTTGTAAAACATACTTTATCAAACTTAAGCCAAGAAGATAAATCTACAAAATGAAAAGCCATAAAGACCAAATACCACAGTAAAGTACAAAAATGCTCCTTTGGCAGGAACCACGTAGCATTTAGTTGATGAGATGGTATGTTAAAACTTGTTAGGCACGTAAACTGAAGTCATCATAAATAAAGGTAGATAAACATTATGAGCTGGTACATGGTATGTCGGACAAAATACACGACCAACGAAATAGACAGCCAACCCAAACAGCAGTTGGTTGGAGCATCAACAAGTTGACTTGGGTTAAAAATAAAAAGACCGTTTCTATTACCAGATTGTAGCTTTGTTGCCATGACACTGGCCCGCAAGCTGTCATCATATTAGCATTCTGAGCCTCCAGTGGGGTGAGATTCACTACAATCTCTGTGCAGCCGCCGCAGAGAAGAAAGAGCACACAACGACTCACGTTACAACTGTGCCAAACAGATAAGGTAACACAACATGGGGACAGGGCTTTACGCAAACTAGCAACTTCATAAAGCACAAGCAATTCAACCTGCTATCAGTCACTCTGAACTGTTAGAACCATATAAAAGAGTTCAAACAGGGGTGTAAATCTCTGATCTCAAAAAGATTTGATTTGATCATGTTTTTTGAGAAACTAGTCAACATGTCATGAAATCTCAAGCCTCAGATTATTTATAGCATGCACAAATGTAACTGGAGGAACTATTTACACAGTGATAGTAAACAGGCAACAAAAACAAAGCATCAAACTTTTTAAACATGTTTAACATTTGAAAATAGCCTGAGAATAGTAGCTAGAAAATAAGTCAGTACTTTTTTGAATATTCAGATTATAACTGATCATAACGTAACTTAACATAACTCTTTTTTAAAATTCATGCAGTCGAATGCAACTTCAGATCATTTTTCCGATGCAGTTTTACAGTTCACATGTACAGAGAAGAAGCGTGCAGGAGTGATTACAGGAATCCTGCTCTGACTACTGCTTCCTGAGCCGTGCTGCTGAGATGAGGGAGGCAAGTGTGTGTCAGACTTTCAGTAAGTGCTCACGGTGTAAATGTGTCATGCGAGAACATGGCACTGGTTTTTGGCTCCTGTAGTGTCTGCAGGACGCAGGGGGAGTGGGCAGAGGGCAGTGGGGCAGCAGAGTGGTTGGCTGTGTGAGAGAGAGGGAGAGATGCGGCCAGGGAGCGGACCCCTGGCCCCATGTTAGGAAACACCAACAGCACTCTGAGGCTACTGTACCGGCAGAGAGAGCATACTCGAGATTTACAACCTCTCTCAGGGGCCGCCATGTTGTTACAGTACACTGAGTCACTACGGCGCTGCGGAGAGAGTGGGCGAGAGACAGAGAGACAGAGAGTGTCAGAGAGGGAGAGAGAGAGAGAGAGAGAGAGAGAGAGAGACAGAGAGAGAGCAAGAGGCAAGAGACAGAAAGAGACAGAACAGGAGGTGAGAAAGGAGGAGAAGGAGAAAGGGTAGAGACAGAAAGAGAGACTGAGAAAGAGGGAGAAAGAGTGATAGAACATGAGGAGAGAGAGAGAGAGAGAGAGAGGGGCAGGGGAGAGAGAGCAGAGGGAGAGACAGTGAAGGAAACAAAGATAGTGGGGGGCAGAGAGAGAGAACAGGAGGCAAGAGAGAGAGAGACAAAGATCCATATTATAAGATCCTGTCAAAAAACAAAATTATGACAAACAATGAGTTCTAATTCTTAAACTCACTGTCAGTTTTGTAAATTTTATAATTATATATGCTGAATTTATCTAATTTCATAACACTTCACAGAGCATGAAAATGTGCATATGTCACAGTCTTTGCTCATATAGATTCCATACTGCGGTAACGTCCTCAGACAGCAGCAACAAGCTCCGTTCTCACTGCATACAGGCACATTCTTACATGTTGGCTTGAACGCGAGGGAGAGAAGTTTATTTTGAAACATTCAATTACACGGTATGATAGCGAAATAAAATGAGGTAGTCTGCATTCTTCAAATGTTACCATTTTTCTACGTGTCCAAATAAACACGTTTAATGGGGGCAGGAAAAAGAGAATAACAGCGAACACTGTAGTGTAAGCAAAATGACAAAGACGGGGAGAAAATGAGGAGGAAGAGGGGAGAAAGAGAATCACATCCAAGGAGAAGAGAGAGGAAGAGAAAGGGAAGAGACAGAGATGGAGCAAAAGAGGAAAAGCATGGGATGAGACTGAGAAAGGGTGAGAGACAGGAAGAGAGAGGAAAAGAGTGGGAAGAAGGAGAAAAAGAATAAGTGAGAAAGAGAGGAAGAAGATGAAGAGCAAAAGAAAGAGGAAAGAGACAGAAAGTGAGAGAGAGAAAGAGAGAGAGAGGGAAAAAATAAACAGCAAGAGAAAGAAAAAGGCACAACAGATAAAGAGGTAGGAAAGAAACAGACTAAGCAAAAGAGAAAGATAAGGAAGAGAAAGAATGAGATAGGGAATAGAGAGGGAAGATGAGATGGAAGAGAAAGAAAGAGTGAGAGAAAGCAAACAAGAGGAAAGAGAGTGAGCAAGAGAGAGAAAGAGCATGCGTAAAAGACAGTGGAAAAGGAGAAATATCGAGACAGAAAGAGAGAGGGAAGACACCGAGAAAGAGCAAGAGAGAAGAAAAGAGACTGGGAAAAGACAGACAGAGTGAGGGCCAAATTCAGAGGAAAGAGAAAGAGTGAGAGAGAGGGAAAAAGAGGAAAGAGATGAAGAAAGAGTGAGAGGGGAAGAAAGAAAGAGAGAGGGAAGAGACACAGAAAGAGCAAGAGAGATGAAAGGGTCAGAGAAATACAAAGCGCAAGGAAAGAGACAGAAAGAGGAAAGAGATATAGACTGAGCGAGAGAGGTAGAGAAGAGACAGAGAAAGGGCGAGAGAGGAAAAAGAGAGGGAAGAGACACAGAAAGAGTGGGAGAAGAGAGGAAAGAGAAAGAGTGAGAGGAAAAAAGAAAAAGAAAGTTGAAGAAAGAAAGAAGGGAAAAGAAAAGCAGCAAAAGAAAGAGAGAGGGAGAATATACAGAAAGAGCAAGAGAGTGGAAAGAGAGAGGGAGGATATACAGAAAGAGCAAGAGAGAGGAAAGAGAGAGAAAGATAGGGAAGAGCGAGGGGAAAGAGAAAAGAAAGTTACATAGATTGAGCAGGGGAGAGAGAAAGAGAAAGAGAGAAAAAGAGAGGAAAGAAACATTGATCGAGAGAGAAAGAGGGAGGGAAGAGAGAAAGCAAGAGGGAAGAGACAGAGATGAAGAGAGAGTGAGAGAGAGCGAGAGAGGGCAAGAGAGAAAGAGAGAGCGAGCGAGAGCGGGAGAGAAAGAAGCCTGTTTGTGAGGCCTCTCCTTATTACCATAAAGTAAAGCCCAGTAGCAGTAGGCAGCATTGCAGTGTGCTTGAACCTAATCCAGGCTGACAGCTTCATGCACCCTGGCCCTGTCTGTGCGCTCACACACACGCACGTGTGCACGAACACTGCGCAGCCGCAGCACTGCCAGGCATTTCCACTCAGTCAGGAAGTGCAAGTGGCTGGGCCCGCTGCCTCGCTGCCTGTTACCATGACAAACACAGTCAGCTGGGAATCCACCCAACGAGATGACAAAGAGGTAGAGGAGGGGGGGAGGGAGGGAGAGAGAGAGAGAGAGAGAGAGAGAGAGAGAAAGAAAGAGAGCTGGAGAAGGAGGGGGTGAGGGAAGTTAGAGGAAAAAAATAGAAATGTTTCTTTTCTCTGTACAGCTTCCGAGGCAAAAGATTTGAATACGAAAAATGTGTGAAGACAAGAACAAGTTGAGTCTACCGCAGAGCGAGTGCATATTCCATTTCAAAACATTCCAATCACACACCAACAAACTACTCTAACAAGGAACAAACAAGCTGAGGAATAAACAATCTATACTCATTTTAAACATTAATATATATTTTTTTTTTTCGTCTATTGTACAGATATACCTGCAGGATCAATTTTAGGTATCAACAAGCAACATTTGTCAGTGTAGCTCTTGCTGTTGCATCCGAGGTGTTTGTCTACTAACCCAGCCGCTATGAACTTGTTTGGCCATATTTAAATGACCACAAATACTGATCAGATGGTAAACGGTAATCTTGCCTTGCTAAATACTCATACACAAATTGATCTGACAGAATTATTATCAAGAAAGGCAGAACGCACTTGCAACAACACTTTTTTTACACTGTAAAAAAGGATTCAAGGCAACCAGGTTACTTACTTTTTAGGTTAAATCAATGAATTTTTACAGTGTTTTAGTTTTATCATAGTCATTCTGACCTAAAATATCCTTCAATGAATAGAACACATTAAAATAAGGAACTGTAGGACAAGAGCTCACACAATAACAGACCAGTCACTCAGTGGATGCTGAATATGTGATATAAAAGAATGAAAACTAGGAATTAGGAATTGCAATATAATGATATTTATGTTACATCACATCACATCACTACATGTTTTTCTGAGCATATCATGGGTATCATCATTTCAAACTGCATGTTTTACTGAAAGAGAGCACAATCAGGCCTGTTTAAGTGGATTTAGTGCAGTTCAATATGAGAAACATTGAGTTAAAAACCATTGTATTCATAGTTTTTGATTTAGAATTGTTTCCAGCTTAACAAATCTTAGAAAAGTGCAATACTGTGATGCATATCTGTAATGTTAAAAAACTAAATGTCTTGAAGTGTCGTGATGTGTTTTTGTCATATCGTCCAACCCTAGTAGGAAATGAAAAGAAGTGTCAGTGCAGGTCATTCAGTAACACTTTCAGCCTGTTCTTCTACCGCTGCTGTTGATAAAAGACTGGTTTAGAAATTAGACGTATAAATCATAGTGATGTAAGATAACAGCCCTGAAAGAGCAAACAAGAGAATATTAGTCAAATTACTTATAAGAGCATTTGGGACAGAGACAGTTTTAGAGAGATAAATCAGTTTTCAGAGATAATTGGATAAAAGCAAAGGATTATTTTAGAAGACAAGTTTCAGAATAAACTGAAACTAAAAAAATGTTGCTCTACAGTGGAAAGAGGGAGAGCGTGGAATAGTTTACGTACTTGTCAACCATTTTATTGTTGAAAATCAAATATCAGAGAGGGGACAAGGTAAGAACTTGCTTCTATCTTCACTGCTTCTATTGTTAAATGGGTAAAAAAAGCAGGCTTGCTTCACTGATACCCACAGGCTTATAATTCAGCTAATAATCTTAAAACATATTATTTAATAACTATTATGAACAATGTGAAAATTACTATGAAGCTAATATAGAGATTGTGTAGTAATGAGAGTGAGGACTTGAAGTGTGGGTCCACACTTTAAGGGGTTAAAATAAATTACTAAATTAAAGGATGATGGATTTGCTCTTAAATAAGTATGTACATAAATAAATACCACA